CTGGAACATATTCTCACTGAAGTCAGTGTAAGATTGTAATTGATCATAACGGGAGCAGGACTGGGCCCTTAGAAAGCTTGATGTTGACTCCACTTCCTCTCCATTGATTAATGTGACAAATAAGCTTTCTGCATCAAAAAGGGCAATGTTTTAAATTAAGAGTAGTTATCATGTATGTTAATATACACACACCTTGAGTCACTCTGATGAGCTAGAGATGGAAAAAAACTTGGGACTTCTGTTTTTGTACAACTGGAGTTATGGTGCACAGCAGTGATAATTAGGTGGCTTGAGGTGGTGGGAATGGAAGAAAACAACATCAGCTTTCTGTATAGGTGATATTAGCAGCCACCAAGGATGCTGCATTAAAGAGGGTTTTGGAATAGAATTGGATCAGTGACCAAGAGGAGATCAGTGAGTGTGATTACAAAAGAAAATAGTCTCCCTTTATATGGGATTCAGGGGAAACTCAGAAGTATTATATAAAGTGATTTATAGATGGAGAGAAACTAGGTTGGGTGCCTTCATCTGTGGCTTATTTTTTCAGAGTAGCAGCCCCTTATGAAGAGCTCTATTCATTTATACAGATTAAAGTGTTGCTTTACATTTCAAAGAGAACACTTAGAAATGTAACACACCCACACAGTAACAGGGAACTGTACACATTTCACTTACAGTTTAGGGCCTGATCCTAGCAAGGGTCTGAGTGTGATATGCTTTCATTACAAGAGGCACCTTGCACGATCAGCCTGATATTCTCATAACAATCCTCTCACCGAAACTGTCCTCTACATAAAACCTGCCATTCTTTCTAAGAAATATGTTATCCTATGTAGACCAGGTTTTCTCCATGTCTCAGTGTTTCTGTTTTGAGAGGATGCCCCACACATACTGCACCAGTTTTGTGTAAACTCAAAACTTCTCTCTGGGCTTCAGCTGTTGCATGAGACGTGAGTGAAAGTATGTTATTATAACACATATCTATGTGACAGTTCAGCTAGAATGAATAGAAATTATGTTAGCCTTTGGAGATAGAATCTTAAATATATTGTGCATATAGAAAAAACAACATACACAGATATACCCATGGATAAGGTAGGTGATAAATATCTATGGCCTGATTCTCATTTAACACTCAGGCTACTTTAGACCCTTCTGGGAGTGCAAAGGGGCTTTAGAGTAATTTTATAATTTCCTCCCACTTCAATGCCTCTTCACAATACCAGAGCAGTGTAAATCATAGTCGGCCCCCTTTTATACACCACAGGGCAGATCCTCAGCTGGTATACATTGTCATAGCTCCATTGACTTATTTCATGGGACAACTGGAGTTGACTTTAATGGAGCTCTGACAATTTACAGTAGCTGAGGATCTACCACGTGACATGTAAAACAGCAAGGAAATTTGCCAAGTCTCCTACTTCTGGCTTTCATATCCAATGAAAACATTTGCCTCAATTTTTTTAATACAGTTGGCTAAAAAATGTTCATTCAGCTTGATATTTTACAAGCCACTTTACTATACAAACGATGGAACTCTTGCACATTGTAGATTACTATTCAACCTGATATACTCTTCTGACTCCCATCATACCATATCCTACTGAGTGCTCAGTCACATCATGCATAATTATGAATGGCCTCCCAAAAATCCCATTCTACTGTACTATGAACTGACTCATTTCACACAGAAGCTTTGACAGCTCATACTGGGTATTGGAATCACAGGGTGCTGTTTTAGTCAGTGAGTCATATATTGTACTAGGTGCTTGGATCTGACTCATATTGAACTGTGTTAGGAACTGACTGACACTGTACTGGTCTGAAAGCTGGTTTGCATCAGGGTGACTCATCTTGTAGTGCATTAAATATTGATTCACACAGCATTCCCTATTGGATCTGATCGTTGCAATCCACTTCAGATTGTACCATAATGGAATCTGACCACACTATAAAATTCCTGCATATATGTAGCTACATTGGACACAGAAAGCCTGAGTCTAATCTCGCTTGCACCAGGGAAACACAGGAGTAACATCACTGAAGTCCACTAAGTTACCAGTGTAAACCTGATATGTGATCAGAATCAGGTCCAGAATTGTTGTTTGTGTAACATAAGAAAATAAATCAAGTGATAATAGCTTGTGGACTTCATACAAACAAATGGCTTGCAACACTCTAAAGAGTTCAAAATCCAGCCCCTAAACAGAAATTTAGGGTCCACCAATCCTTGGATAGAGTATTTTGATAACTGTGACTTTGCTTATCCACTAGTCCTACCATATTTCAGCCATAATTCCCAGAAGCACTGCTTCCAGAGGATAAAATTTCCTTAGTGCCTGAAAGATTGGTGTGAATTTTCAGAAGCATCTAGTGATTTTTCAGCTGTTTCATTTTTTTGACTGCCCATCTTGAGATATCTTAAGGAGGCTTGATTTTCAGATGTGCTGAGCATTCCATGCTCTGAAAATTAAACTCCACTGAAGGTGTTTCAAGTTGGGCAGCCAAAAACTGAGACACCCAAAATCACTAGTTATTTCTGAAAATTAGACCATTTGCTTCAAGAGTATGGTTGTGTGAAATGACATTTTTGAAGTGAAACTACAGACTTAGAAAAAAGTAGTGCTTCCATGCATAATGATTTCAAATGCAGGTGGTAATATGCATAGAGATATTGATAAGGGTAAGTAGAATCAAGGATAAATAGGATTGCCCATATCTTATTTCTGAAGCATGTTATAATATTTGAGGGTAATATAGCTATGTGGTTTTCCTCAAACCATCCAGGAGGCTTGAACATACTTCTCAGTTGGGATTTCATTCTGAGTTTAGAAACACACCCTCATTCCTCATTTTAAATTGACACGCATGGTAACATTTGGGTGGTGGGTTGTACTGGCTTCCATCATACTGTATAGTAGTAATGTAGTGTATTGACACTAGCAGTATTTAGCCCTATTGACTCCTGAAGCCAGTGGTAGTGTGTTGTGGATACACTGGGTACAGAAAAGTGAGTGATATGCAAGTAGCCTAAATGTCTTTGAGTTGTACAAATGACCATCTAGCATACAGTTTTGTCTTGCATTTTTTTGCAACAACAAAAATGAAATAATTGAGTAACTGTATAGATGAAATTACCTCTATATTAAATTACTGTAATTTCTACTGGCATGTGCAAAGATAATCATATTTAACTTCTGCAGTCGTCTAATTTTCATTACCCCTTCCCCTCTATTTAATGACACAGAAACGACCGATTTCAGCAAAAGGTCTGTTTTCTTGCCCGCAGAATGTAAACCTCATTTAAAGGGTCTGTGATGGTGGAAACATGGGAACACTTGTTCGCCCTGGAACAAATGTTTACTTTTATTCCTTGATTGTTTTGTGACATCCCTAGTACGAACTGCGTTAGTCTGGGGCTCAGGCGGTGGGTGGGCACTTAGGTAAAGGGCCAGTCCTTGCTGTCCTTCCGGGGCAGAGACCCTAGTGACTGTCACTGAACTCCATGGGACTGCTGCTGGAGAGAGGAGGCTAAGGACTCTCTGGGCTTTGTAGGATTCTCGAGGTGTCATTCAACCAGTTCCCTCGTCCCTGGAAAACTCAAGGCAAAACAGCACCATGGGGGGTGACCTCCTACCCCCCTTACCTCAGCTACAGACACGGGGGTTAGTGGACCGTCCGGGAGCCTCCTTCCCTGGCTGCTTTGCTGGGGCCAAACGGCGCCGCCTGGCGCTCGGGACCAAGAGGAGCGCGGTGGCAGGCAAACGCTGCGGCGGCGGCGCGGGGCTGCCCCGGCCCGGCAGCTTCCAGCTGGGTGAGGCGCGAAGACCCGGCTCGGCGCCGGAACAGCGGGCGGGCAAAGCCGCCCTGCGGGACGCCGCCTGCCAGACAGAGCGCGCACCGCTCCCGCCGCGGGGCTCGCCTCCCTCCTAGCGCGCGCCGGGGGCACGGTCCCTCCGTCCGGGCGGGTGGGCCCCGGCCCACGGCGGGGCTCGCTCCGGCGCCTCATGGGCACCGCGGCTGCGCTCTCGGAGTCCCCTTCGCCGCGCTCTCACCCCCGCCTCCCCCACCGGAGGGACCATCCCCTCTCCAGGGCTGCGCCAGGCGGGACTTTCCCTGCACTCCCGGCGCTGGGAGCCGCCGAGGCAGCCCCTGGACGGGCAGCGCCTGCACTCGGCGGGAGCCTCCCTAGGTCCCGCTGCCCTCGCAGCAAGCGGGCTCCGGGGTGCAGCGGGCGCCTGCTCCCCAGCGGCTCCCTCCCCAGCCGCCGAGGGAGGGCTGCCCAAGGAAGGCGCCTTGCGCCCCCCGCCTGTGGAAACCGTCCGGGTGGCCCTCGCCCGCCCGCCCGAGCCTCGCCGCCTCCCCGCAGCGAACTTGCAGCCCGCCGCCCTGGTCTACTAGCTCCGCGCCACAGGCCAGCCCTGCGCGCGGCGGACACGGCCCCTGGCCCTCACACCCTGGCCAGTGCAGCCACCCACCGCCACCTGCAGAGGCTGAAGCGAGCTCCCCTGGCCCGCCAGGTCTAGCCCCAGGAACCAGGGCAGCCCTTGCTTCCATGCTGGCCCCCGGCCCTCGCCGCCCGCGTGAGATCACACCTAAGCCAGCGCCGCACCTGTGCTCTGCGTGTAAACACCCCCGGATCCCCCTCTCCCTGCCAGGGACAATGCAACGATCTGCCGCAGCGAGGGATCCTGCTCTTTAACCGAAGGAGGCTTCCCTGGGCACACAATGGAAGAAACGCGTGGAAACCCCGCAAACTACAATGGGGGTGGGGGGAGGAGAGAAGCGATCCAAAGAGACACCCTCCCTCCCCCGTGTTTAGGGACAGCAAGTGCCACCCAGAAGCGCCTCTCAGTGCCCCAGACCAGGAAACAGCCGATTGTTATTCTCATGCTCCCAAATACACTTTACAAACCGAGCCAGGGAAAGGCAAAGCCCCGGGCGCTTCCCCACGTGCCGAGCCCCTGGGCAGTCCAGGCTCAGCGCTGGAGAGTACTTACAATTTCACCATCAGTCCCGGGAGCTAGGTGGAAATCTTTGCCTTGATCACATCCGTTAGCAGTGGGCTCCTCACCCAGGGACGGCGGCTCGCCAGCCATGCGCATGCGTCCCGAGCTTTTATAGGATGCTTATTTTACTGTATATTCCTCTGGCTTGATTCCCCCTCCTCCTTTTAGCCACCACCAGAATGCCCGCGATGTGTGTCCACCCGGCCTTCCCGTGCTCTTGTTATGGGTAGGGAAGAGCAACAGCCCAGCACGTGAAGGGGGGAAGGGACTAGACCGGAGTAAATGAGAAATGAACCGTGAATGCCAGAGGCTGAACAGCAGACGCCTCTGGAAACAGCTTCTCTCCCTCGCTCAGTCCCCGCACAACACCTTGCCTTGGCAGGCGACCTTCCCCTAAACCCAATCAGTTCCCAGATGGTGACACACACGCGTGTTTGTGTGAATCTCAGGCAGGCTACACCTGGGGCCACATCTGCAACAAACACATTGTGTCAACAGTCTGGGGAGGGGAAAGGGGTGGAGAGTTCCATGGATCCAACTTCTGTTCCCTCCCCGGGGCGGGAGGAGATTTTCTGGGATAAACAAGCGGGTGTGCTGGGGGCAGGAGGGAGGGGCTGCACGGGGAGGCGAAGACTGCGTGTTCGATATTTGGATTTCATTTTAATAGGCTCCCTTAAATCTCGATCGTCTTTATATGGGTAGGGATAGGCGCTTTTAGGTAATTGCAGGGACGTGTTTCCCCCTTATCTGGTTCCTTGTTGTATGGCAAAACGCCTCTATTCGAATAAATTACCGCGTAGCAGGAAGCTTGAAATAAATCGGATCTATTTGCCAGAATGTGCAAAACTGTTTTGTACATAAATTGCAACCGGTAAACCAAGCACCAAAGTGGAAATCAATGGATCTTTCCTGCTCTATACTGTATTCGTCTCCGGGAAACATAGGTACATAACGTATTGCATTCAGACACCGTTCCAAAGGAAACCACACTCCTGTCAACAGGACACAGATTTAAAGGCTCGCCATGGAGCGCCTTCTGCAACGGACTGCTCAGGACTTGCAAATGTGTTGCTACTTTGTGACCACTCTGTCGGGACAGGAGTTGGGAGGACGACGCAATATTTCCCTAGAACTGAAATTGACCTGATACATAAATAACATTCACGTCACTTCCTTCGACTTCTCAGGAGCTGAAGTCAGGGCTCCCTGGTTACAGAGAGAGAAAGAGAGAGATCACAAACAGCCCTGGTAATTATGACAGCTCTCTTTCCGTTTTCATTGGCACAAGGAGGCAAGATAGTGACCGAAAAGCACCATCGTAAACAGCTTCATGTCTGTACCCACAAACACAGAACTATGGGGAATGCTGCTACCACAGATCACAACAGCCCTGCTTCTGCCATTCGCCAGCAAGGGGCGTTGAATGATTTAAGCTGTCATCGCTCTTATCCTTGAATATTTATGCCATTCCCTCTCCACACACCCACACACCTCAATCTTCCAATTACAGCCAGGATCGTAGTGTTAAAATCTCGTTAATATTAGCTGCCAGGGGTTTCTCTCGATGTAGACAAAGGTCTCACCATGCAATAAGGCATCCCCAGGAGGAGGAGGAGGAAGAGAGGGAGGGGAGCCTGTCTGAGGAAGTGGTACTCACAGCACTGAACGGATCTGGGAAAGTCCCGTGTTTCCTGAACGCGGCTCCTTCGCATTTTTGGCACCGCAGGTGTTCCCAGAAGACGCAGCTGTGTAACGCGGGACAGGCCAAGCGGCCTTTTAGTAAGGCACACAGCTGGCCGGGGGCTGCGGCCTGCCCCCAGGAGACCAGAGTCCCTATTGGGAAGGGGCTGATGTTTGACAGAGGGGCAGCTGGCAAAGCTGGAAGAAGGGTGGTGGCAAAGTTAGGGCAGAGCCTGGGAGCTGAAAGCCAAGGGTGAAAGAAGGAGTTAGGGAAGAGAGAAAAGCCTGGAAGCAGTGAGAGGGAAAGCCTGGAAGCCTTTGGAGACTAGAGCAGGGAGGGGTGGGTGGGAGGGGGAAGAGAGAGAGAGACACAAAATAAACATTACTAAGGGGATCAATCAGCCACATCCGAAAAGACAAGCTCCGAGTCAGACGATTTCGGGTTAATTCTGCCCCCACCACCTCTGCAGTTGACTTATTTGAAGGGGCAAACACCCCGCCTCTCCACTTTTGGGGGGAGGGATAGCTCAGTGGTTTGAGCATTGGCCTGCTAAACCCAGGGTTGTGAGTTCAATCCTTGAGGGGGCCATTTAGGGATCTGGGGCAAAAATTGGGGATTGGTCCTGCTTTGAGCAGGGGGTTGGACTAGATGACCTCCTGAGGTCCCTTCCAACCCTGATATTCTATGATTTGTTACTTCAGTGCAACCCCACGTTTCCAACGCTGAGACACTGGAGGGGGCTGGGTCGTTCGTATATTAACTCCCACTTTTGTAGAATTGCAGGCGTCTCAGTCCTCAGCCTCCGCTGCCTTTTCCCCGACTCCAAGTGTCCGGCTTTTGGGGGCGAATTCTAGGTGAGACAGGACACACAGCTGTGGTTCTGCTGGTGCCCCAAGCTGCTCCAACCCCCCAGGAACAGTCCGAGGAATCGTAAGCAGAGGAGCTTTCCTTCCTTTGGTTTCCATTCTATGTTAGGGCTAAATTAAGGAGTTTCATGCCCTTTACATGTCTGGCACTTTGAAATATGGCCTCGCCTTTTTCTTAAGTTTTATTCTAGCTATTAATCACTACTGTTTTCTTTGCGCTCCAGGCCGCCTTCAGCATCCGTCCTCTGTGCTAGGCACCGGGCAAACACATAGAGCTTACAATATAATTAATTCTGCATTTTCCTGGCTGAAGTTTTTTAAGACACCCCTTTCCCCCTCAGGACAGCTCAAGATATCAAGAAACGATAAACTTTGCAGAATAATAAACTTTGCAAAACCATCCGAAGAAGTCAGCCTCATTCTTGTTCTAGAATTGAGTGGACTAAGACACCCACCCACCCGTATGCCTCATGGGCGGCCAACACTGGTGCAATCCCTTCCCTGACACTATGCAGCCGATGCTAAGCAGCAGTGAAAAGGAAAGAGAAATGGGGACTAACGCCACGAAAAGGAAACAAGTGAAAGGCGAATAAAAAGGCGAGGGGGAAGCAGCCAGAGTTAAGGAATCTAGCCAGCTCTGAATGCTGATCGCAATAGCAGAATTGCTATCCAGGGTTCTGAAGCTTACGCGTGGCAAATTGCGTTTGCCCTTTGCTGAAAACTCCTATTTATGCTATTGCTTCAGGGTTGCAACTTGAACAAACACACAGCAGTTATATCCGGCTGTTGGGAGCCTTGACATGGCACTGGACCACCACGCTAACTGAGCCTCATGCTGTAGGGCAGAGGATGGGGCTTTTCTATAATGGCTTTTTTTGTGTGCAGCTGCCTCTTGAGGTGACATCAGAGCTTCTCCAGATTTCCTAACAGAGGGTTCTTGTGTTTTCCCAGTCCAAGCTCCAAGCTTGTCAAGGCCCAGGAGCGCTCCAGGAGACAGACAGACACTTGCTTCCCCAGGGTGTGAAGTCAGAACTTTAAGCTCCCCACACACCCCGATATGTGCGGAGGGTGACACTCTTTCAGAACTCAGGCATCACCGAAAGCCTCGCCATGCATTAATGAGGCAGGAGAACACGGCTACGGCGTTGTTATTACAAGGTTAAGCTACTTGTCAGATTTGAGAACTGTAGAGAAAGCTGCTATTCCTTACACTCACAGGAACCGTGTGGTTGCTTAGCAGCAAAGCTTTTCTTCTAGGTATGATCATAGGAAAGGCTAAGCTTGGGGAAAAACCCAAACACGCTGGTGAATCAGCCATAATAAGCCCCGTCTTGACGAGCCCAGATGAGGCCGAACACGAATTAGCCTTATGTGGAAGAACTCCAAATGGGCAGGTTAAGTGGCGCCCGCTGTGTCCGAGAACAGGAAGCAGCCTGCAGAAGGCTGGAGCAAGTTAAGCCATTGATTTCTACCCAATCTGTTAGCAAAGGAGAGGAGCTCTCCGTAGGGACTCCTGCGCTGGTGGAAGGGAGAGAGCTTCTAATATCCCCAAATCTGCAAACTCCTGTTGATTATTGTAGTGAATCTCTTTTTGTCAGGCTGGAGCAGTTAGGAAAAGGCAGGAACAGAAGACGGCTGGTGGGTGAACTCATCTGTGTGTCAAAGCCCCGAATGCTGTTCCATCTGCTAGGACTTCTCCAGAGGTACTGCTGTGCATGTCTTGTGAAGAAACTAAAGGAGATCTGAGTGCTTTCTGTGTGAGAGAATGGTGGTAGGGTTGCATCAATGTATTGGCCATGCCTTTCTGGTTGGGCATTACCATGAACAATCCAAAATATATTTTATCAAAGGGTTTGGGAGAATGGGCTGGGCTATATTTCCAGGAGAAAATAATATAGCTTGATTTTTACCATGTTAATATTTCTCCTTCATGAACCCAAAGAATCACTGCTGTGTATGAAACTCCTCTGTAAAACCCCTGCAAAGTGTCCATTTCATATGGAGCACAGCTCACCATTGTGATGTTAATTATGCCACTCTGCATAGTTATTAAATCCTACTTGCCACCTAGGTGATCCCACATGTAGAGTTTTCAGTGGCTCTGAGGTTTGCTTGACAACAATGATAACAGAACTTGATAAGTGTATGGTGGCTATAGTATGATAAGATTGCCTACAGTGGCATGTGGCCCATCTGTGATGGCTAGTAGCAAATATCACCAACAGTTGGAGAGGGATGCTAGGTGTGGAGGGCTCTCAGTTACAATAGTGAATTCTTTCCCAGGTGTCTGGCTGATGGATCTCATTAACATGCTCAGGGTCTAACTGATCAGCATATTTGGGGTGGGGAAGGGATTTTCTCCCCTGTCAGATTGTCAGGGACCCATTTTTTTTGTTTTGTTTTGTTTTTTTGCATTCCTCTGCAGCATAGGGGCACACATCATGTGCTGGTTTGAACTAGAGTAAATGGCAGAGTCTCTGTAATTTGAAGTCTTTAAATTGTGATTTAAGGTCTTCAGTAAGTCAGCCAGAGGTTATGGGTCTATTACAGGTGTGGGTGGGTGAGGATCTGTGGCCTGCAATGTGCTGGAGGTCAGACTAGAATGATCACGATAGTCCCTTCTGGCCTTAAAGTCTATGATTAAATGACACTGTCTCTATGATGAGAGGGTGGGAAAAAATAGGGAAAGGTTTAGCAATTATGCCCTAGAGATTATTCTGTGGTGAATCTTCAGATCAATGGAAAGACTCCCACTGACATCATCACTGGACTCTGAATCAGAGCCGACTCAGCCTGTGGGAACCAATCATGGACAGTGACATTTAGGACTTAGCTGAAGTATTTCACTTAAAGCCCATCCAGACTAAGAAACTAGGTTGTGTTTTTAAATGTTAGCTAACCTACTTTTACTTATACTTGTGTAGAAAGGGTTTAACACCTTTAAAATGTGTTTGCTCGTCACACATCATCCTAGGCTTCCCCCTAGGGTGGACCATCACCAGTTAACACATTTGAAACAGGACTATATTTATCAACATTATATCTACTACATCAAAATATGTTAGTTAATATGTCCTGAAAGGCTACCCATTCTCCCATTGTAGACAGACCCTTACTGTCTTCAAGTTTGAGCTGTTCAATGAAGCAATGGTGGGTCTTTGGTGACACTCTACATGTAATGCAATATCTAGTAACCTACTGCAAACGTTTGCATTATTAGATTGTTAAGATTTAGGAATGGAGTCATCACACATGGATTGTATTTTAAATGAAACATCATCAAAATCCAATATTGACAGTTCCTTGTGCACCATTCAAGGTAAATATTAGATCAGGACTCAATTTCAACATCAGTATTAATGAATAATAAAGAACAGCTCTATAAGAGTATTAGAAAATCTCCCTGTAAAACTTTGCTGAACATTTGCAACTAAACCCATACAAAGCCAGTGATAACACACAGAGAAAATAACTTGGAATTTAATTTAATTTTAGGATACAGCTCTTTTCTTCCATTTTGGAATAGTTAGGAATGGACGTTACTGAAAGCCACACCAGTATATCAGATTGTTGTTTTATGTTTTCCTGGTACTCGGCCTAGCTGGCTCAGTCTCCAAAGGGTGGAACTGTCAATATATTTTCATCATTAGGTCCTCCTGGGTTGAAGTGCAGAAAATAGTTATTATTCCAAGGTATAAATGCAATCCCTTGGGTGTTTGTAGCTGAAAATCTCAAGATCAGAAGGATCATAAATAGGGTAATATAGAAGTTGAACCTATCATTCTAATTACTGTGTTACTTTCTGACGTATTTTAATGTTCAGTCCATCACACTTCAAGACACAGCATAGCAGCCATTTTTAATAGTGTTAGTATAGCTACCTGGGGCTCATACAGTACTTGACTTCTCCCTTGCCTAAACAGATTCCTATTAGCCTGTGCCTGAATGAAGAGTGCAAGACTGGGTCTTTGCAGGAATTAGCCAGTTCTCAATATTTCTTATTTGGTTAGATAAGTTAATTTAGAGAGGGATAGCTCAGTGGTTTGAGCATTGGCCTGCTAAACCCAGGGTTGTGAGCTCAATCCTTGAGGGGGCCATTTAAGGATCTGGGGCAAAAATGGGGGATTGGTCCTGCATTGAGCAGGGGGTTAGACTAGATGACCTCCTGAGGTCCCTTCCAACCCTGATATTCTATGATTAAGATGATTCATAGTGAATTTATGTAACTATTTTGACATAAACTAAGGGAGCCATTATTTTGTCCATTTATGTAGACATTAAAATGCCCTTAATACAATTCACTGTAATGATTGACATGAGCTTTCAAATGGGAAATGAGAGCTTTCAGAATTAAAATCTATTTCAAAGGTATTTTAATGTCTAAGTGCCAGCAATTCTTTCTTAAATGTGTTATTTAGTTCATGAGTGAACTCATAAATACATAAAATGGGTACATTTTAAAGAATATATTTTAAGTTATCATAATTGCATGAGATATTACAAGAAACGCTTTGAGCATATTTAACATTTGCATTACATCAAAGCTAGTAACATTCAGAGTGTACTGTCTTTCCTTAATGAACCTATTGCTAACTGATTTTACATGGAAGGCACTTGGATACAATACTGATGGGTGGCAGCACAAAACCCTGAGTGAGGGATCATAATAAAATCTGTATTGTAGTAGAGTGGAACTCCCAAGTTCCCATTAAAATCAACAGGAATCTTGTAAATGGATTGAATGATCCAGCCTATACAATCTAACAGTAGAGCTATGTGGGGTCATCTGCACATCAAGGGATTGCATTGCACTATGTCTGAGGACTGCCTGTTAGTACTTTATTTTCATAAGCACTGTAACGACATAGAAAAACAACCAGAACCAATGCATTACTTCTGGAATAAGGACTTATTTCAAACAAAGTCCTTTTGTTTTCAAAGGGTGAAATTCACCCCGTGCCAAAGTCCAGTGCAAGGCCAATTGGTTCTCAAAATAAGGCTTAAGTGGGACTAATGTGATACATCATCCTTGCGTTAGGACTTTGTCCAGGGTTAATTTCACCCTAAGGGCTTGTCTGCACTGGGAAATTACATTGTGTTAGCACATGACCTTGAGCAGTCATGGTAACTAATACGGCGTTAAACATGATTTAGCACTCAATGTAGACAGGGGCTTTCTGCCACTGGCTTCAATGGGGCCAAGATTTAACCCTGAGTGTTTAACACAGGATTAGTTGTCATGACTTCTCCAAGTTGTGTTCTAGCATGTGGTACTTTCCAAGTGTTGACAATCACTAAATGAACATTCTTCCAAAGTTAGTGATCTCTGTTATGCTTACCAGATGTCTTTTTACATAGTATTTTGCCTTTGCTGAAATCTAGAAATCGGTATGGGAAGATGCAACTCTGGACACATCATACATTCAACACAGTAATTATAATAGTGCATCTTCAGTCATCTTTAACTGTCACCTGTAAAACAAATGTCTTAAGATACATCAAAAACATGAGCCCTCACTAAAAACTAAGTGCGTATCTGCAGCTGGTGTAAACTGTCATAGCTCCATTGACTTCAATGGATCTCTGACAATTTATATTAGCTGGGGACCCAGCCCAGAGCCTATGGCAAGTGCGAAGTTTGACAAGTAACCTCTGCTATTTTCAGTCACAAAACAGTGTCTTTGCCACTTCTGCATAACACAAATGGATTACGAAACTTACAAAGCAAAACTCTGAGCAACAACTATTAGAAACATCACCTCAAAAGACAAATGTTTCAGAATGTTATGCGTAGTGAATGTAGGGTTTTAGAACAGAAGAGTTAATTCGATCTATGATGATGATTGTTGTGCTACTATTCTGGCCCCAGTCCAGAGCAATTAAGCACACAGATAACTTTAAGCCAGTGACTAGTCCTACTCAGGTCAGTGGGACTGCTCATGTGCTTAATACATTGTTGAATCCAGGCATCTGGCAGACTGACAGAAGAACCCTGAGGTCTGTAGCTTAGATTACTCAGGAGACAATCTTCTACAGAGAAATTGCACCCAGACACTTTTTACAAAATTGAATTTTTGACTAGGTACAATGGCATAAAATTTCTCATTACTTTCACTGCATTTCCTATGTTTGTAAAATAGAAGCCCTGCTAGATTTAGTAGAATCTATACAACATTTTTTGCATATTCATTTCAATAAATACATATTTTTAAAATATGTAATGCAGTTACATTTAAAAAATCATTATATTCATGTGTGGCCCAAATCCTTTTTATTTTTATTTTTGGATTTTTTGGGGGGACCATTAAAAAACCTTGTAGATTAAGTCAAAATTATTTAAAACACATTCTCCTATTATTGCAAAGTTTTGTTAGCAGGCCCTGATGGCATCAAATATTAAGTAAAGACTTGACAAAAAATGGTCAGAAAATGCCTATTTTACTTTAGGTTTCAGAGTAACAGCCGCATTAGTCTGTATTCGCAAAAATAAAAGGAGTACTTGTGGCACCTTAGAGACTAACCAATTTATTTGAGCATAAGCTTTCGTGAGCATCCGATGAAGTGAGCTGTAGCTCACGAAAGCTTATGCTCAAATAAATTGGTTAGTCTCTAAGGTGCCACAAGTACTCCTTTTATTTTACTTTAAAATCCCACAATTAACAGAAGACTGTTAGAGAATGGATTGTGGAATATTATGTTATTA